ATTTTTCTTATTCTTATATAATATATACAGATAGATTGGAGTGATCAATGTTTAGCTATTTCCACTGTCAATGTTAACGGTATTCAAAAAATGAAAATAAAACAAAATAAGTACAATTTAATCTTGGTAGGACGTTATAATCTTGATGCATTAGGCATCTAAATACATGAGGTTTGAACTTGTAGGTAGGTTTGCTCTGTATGTTATTTGTGTTCTCAAAGGATCCTTGTATACTCAAATGATTGTGGTTTCAATTTTTTTTTTTTTTTGAAAATACAAAAAACTAGTTTGGCGAATTGTCTACTGAAAATTCTTTTTGAAATTTTTTTATGCAAACAATCCACCTTTTATGAAAAATAAAAGATAAAAAATGTCCACAAAAAAAAGGGGGAAAAAAAAAAAGAGGGAGGAGATAAAAGGTGCAGAATTGCAACAGTTTGCATAGATGTGGAAATATATAAAGCAGCACACCAGGCTACATTTATGTTCTTCCATCTTCCAAATATGCACATAAGCTTTACATAGATTAGGGATGATACAATGTTCCTCTTCTGGTCTAACTATTTCCACTGCTGATGTTATCGGCATTCTCTCTCTCTCCTTCCTTCTTAGACTACAGTTTTCAGCAGTGGCATATAATCAGCATATATCAGTTATGAATCTCCCCTGACTCATAAATTGTCATCCAGAAAAGTCGACAGCAACAGCCCCCGGACAAACTCACACTTTCTAGCTTTCTCTTCTTGATCCTTCACTGATAATGGAGATTGTTGGATGCTTTTTCTGTCATGGTAAATTGGTTATAGATAAGCTTAACAAATAAATGCATCTATTATTCATATACAAAAACCAGGTGGATCAAAACAGAATGACATACTCAGCTGAAAATTATCTAAACCTGAAAACAAGATAAAATTACAGACAATCAGTTGGACAGAAAATATTAGCGAAGGATAGACGGGGAAAAAACAAAATTAAAAAAAAAAGCATAGAGCAAGATCACCTCCTAGCACAAAAACTACTAGGAAAGTTTCTTATACTCGATCTAGGCAATTTGTCTTAACTGGTATTCAAAAATACTTCGGCAACTAAAGTCATTGGTAACTACTCTCAAATAAAAATACCTGAGGTACAACATACCAACTTCTTTTGATTAGCAAAGAACTGGTGGGAAAAACAAAAGAACAGCATAGATCAAGAACACAAAAACTGGTTTGGCAAATGCATCAAGGGAGTTGATTGGAATGGGTTCCACCATGTTGATTTCTGTAGTGAACAACAAAGAGGCAGGATCACCGCCTAGCCTATAAGATATAAGGCCCCCTCACAACTAGTAAAGTTTCTTTTACTTGAGCTAGGCAATGCTTCTGAACTGGTATTCCAAAATACTTCGGCAGCTTTTAAGTGATCGATAACTACTTCTACAACTGTTCACTACACAAATTATGACTGTTTATGGACTAACACGCCATGCACAGAAGGATTAGATTAAACTCGCATAAATTACTATTAGTCTGCTTTTCTTTCAAAAGTTAATGACTCTACTTGAGGACCAAAGTCCAACCAAGGCTTACTTCACAAAGTACTCAATCCAGAACCTCCCTTCGAATTCTGTAAACCTGTCCCAGGGATATTAACATATGTTTATTAAACAGATCATGGGAAATTTAGTGTGGCCTCCCATAAGGTCCTAGAGGGATATCCAACCAAGTTATCCCAAAGATGTGCCCTTCTAGAGGTAGCATGTGGATTTGGACTTCTTTGACCCAACTGTGGTTGTGTGTTTGTGTCTTGTATTTCTGTCATGATCAAAAGAAAGAGAAAAGATGAAGTTTCTGTGCAGGTAAGTTCAAAGAAGTCTGGCAAGAATATTGTAAACTTGTTCCATGAATGATATTAACATATGCTTATTAAACATGTCATGGGAAATTCAGAATTGAACAGCTGATTACTCCTTTGATATCTACGAGGGAGAAGGGCATCAAAGTCAATATCACTACTACAAAAGATAAAAATATACCCTCATTGCCAGTGATCCAACAAGTTCTATGATCTCAAACCAAAAGCTGAAATGTTCGCATGTCACTAATTATATTCATGACTAATACTCTATTGCTGCAAGTTCTAGTTTTCTCATCAATTTGCTGCACATTGAGAAACATGAACAGAATTAATAAAAAAATTAACACCAATTCTCATACCTCTGTGAGGAATCCTTGCTTGAGCTTTCCTTTACCGAGCTTGCTTCCACAGAAGAACGAGGTTTTACACTTGCAAGCTCATCAACCATAGGAAGATTGTACATAAACGAGGACAGCAATGGATCGGGCTCTGTATTGGATGACGAAACCAAAAACTGAGACCCCCCAATAAAGGATTGAAGATTTCCTTCACGCAGTTCTTTTCTCAATATAGAAAATGTTGAATTAGATCCACATTTGCGAAATCTCCTCCTCCGCTGCACGTAACCTCAAGTCAAGGAAAAGCATAAACTTCATGAAACCATTTACAGAATCCAATGCTTAAAATACCAAAAAACAAAATGCATGTGGAAAGCACTGTACATAAACCAGATTATATAGCCTGAATTTTTTTAGAACATGAAATGCCCTGAGACTAATCTAAAGCATTGAAAATATGGTTTTCTTTAATCCTACTTGAATAAAAAGGATATCTTTAAAAGACTTCCATGTTGCATGGTAATATGGCCAACCAAATCCATCCCTACTTTTTTTGCACAAACTGGGCATACCTGCATATATTGACATTTCTATTAGCATTAATAGCGGAAACATGCAAGTTCTGTAGCTCAACATGCACAAATCCTTTCCTATTAAATAACAAACATGACAAAAATATATATATATATTCTATCCATAAAAAACATCTTACTCAATCCAAAACACCCACATTACTATTTCTCACTAGCAATAACTCTCTCTCTCTCTCTCTCTCTCTCTCTCTCTCTTAATAACTTCTATACAAAAATTTTCCTACTAAGGATTCTTGTTGGAAACTTCTATAAAAGGAAAATGCTAATATCCGCCCAATGGGTGGTCATTAGTCTCAATACACGTGTAAAAAGTGTGAAAAGTATATAGAAAGATGTAAAAGTATATGAAACTATGTATAGCTTGCATTGAGGTGAGATTATGACTATTTTTGCATTATACACACCTTAACAACAGTCCATTGGGCAGTTTCTTAGCATGACCATTTATAAAATACCAAACTAATTTACTTTTCCAGAATTTGCACGGTAGAAGCCAAGAGTTCCAACTTGCAGGCTTTCCATTATCCAACAGTGATCAAAATCCTAATGACCCAAGGGCAATACTGATTAATGGGTGCTTAAAAATGCTTCCACAGAAGCATTGAGGACTAACACATAATAAAATTAGAATGTACTAAACTCGCATATAATTATTTTTACCAACAATTGTAACCGTAAATATCTAATCTTTTTCGAGGAACCAAATGTGGTTCTGCATTTTGTAACTGACAATTTTTTGGAGTCATGATCAATCGACAATATCTTTTTACGATGCTTGCATTAAAATGGTCCAGATGCTTCTTTTGTATAGATGTATGCATATGAATGTCTGAAAGATACTCAACAAATTATCAAGTTATGGGTGCTGCCCATTAACCGAAAAAACAGGATGCCAACTTCTCTAATTGAATCTTGCAAAGCAGTATTTTCGAAGGAAACGATTATGTAATTACTTAAATGTCTCTAAAAAAAACCTATACCTTCATTTGGCAATTATGAGGGGACATAACACCCTTGTTAATTCATCTCTTTATCATGGTTTAACGTTTTTTACTTTGCTTATCAAAAAGGATATGATACAATACTTGGCAACAAAATAATAGCTCTTTATAAGTAATTATGCTTCACCAAACAGAGAATACGAACATGTAAACTCATGAAAGAAACTCACAACTAGAAAGAGTAAAACCAAAGTAAATTTTAGAAAATAAAATAAAATAAAACTCAATTTTTCTTCTTCTTTTGACTAAGCCCCAAACAAAAGAACAACATATTTGACCTCAAAATCACTTAAAAAATATGTAAGTGTCAATTCACAGATAAAGTTATTTATTTCCACCAAAATTTAAAAATAAAAAATAAAAAATCGTTACCCCATTCTTCGCTGCAACAGCATGATCTTCATCGATATGACAGCAAAGACCGACCATATCAAAATCTTCAGCACAAAACGGACAAAGAAACTCCGATCGCGACTCCTCATCACCATCAATGGCTTCTCTTTCGTTATACAGATCTGCATATCAGATAAACCCAATTTCACACACTGAAAAAATAAAATAAAAAACCCAAGTCCCCCCATTTACAGGTTCCAAGTGTATAAAATTAAAGATATTGCAACTTTTTAAAAAAAAAAATTTTTTTTACGATTTTCTCGGGAAACAAACGGAAAGTGAGTGGCATTGAAACTGACCAGATCGAGAATGGTAGCGCCTAGAAACAGCAGCAGCGAGACGAGTAATCGACGAATCGGAGTCCATTTTCGATTGCGATTTCGATTCCAAAGAAAGATCGAGAATTTGTTAAATAAACCCACTTAGATTTTGCCTTGAAATACGGAGATTTTTTCAGAGTTGAGACCTGTCTCGTACATACATACACATCTAGGGAGATGGAAGAAAAAGAGGTGTGCCGAAAGTTCGAAGAAATGGAGAGAGAGAGAGAGAGAGAGAGAGAGAGAAACAGTCTGTACCAACCTCCACTGCACCCACGGACACGGTGTTCAGACCATATACACCCGCACCGTGACACAGTGGCAAATGGTTGTTTAATTCTTTATTATTCAACGATGGGATTTTTGGAACACATAAAAAAAACTAATTTTTTAATTTTTTTTAATTAAAAAAGTCAATTTTTTTTATTTAAAAAAATTCAATTTTTTTTGTCAAAAAAGTCATTAATAAAAGAGTTAAAAAGCCAAATTTTTATCAATTTTTCAAAATATCAAAAAATTAACTTTTTAAACTTCTTTCCAAAATGTCCCAATGTTACAATTTAAATTCTGACTCGTTTAAATTGTTAAAATTTATGTATGTCAATCATTTAAGTAGTTGTTTGATCGGCCATTTGAGAGGATGTTGTTGACACACTAAACAATAAAAATGATAATTGTAATTGACAAAAATAATGGTGATTGTTTGAATAGTCATCCAACCACGTTCACATCATTCAAGCAAAATCAGGCTACTTCTATTTCAATCGACTAAGCTTTTTTTCTTATTTATTAGGCTTATGGACATGAATAATATTAAAATGTATCTTTTTCACTGCTTAAACTATAAAAATAAATAGGTAGATTCCTTAAATTATTAAGAAATATCATTTTATTTGTTAAATTATAAAATTATACAAATGTACTTTCAAAATTATTGATGTGTTTCATTTTAGCCTATTCTAATAAGAGTCTAATTGGTACGTTATTTTTATATTTAGGGGGTTTATTTGTGTTTTTTTTTTATAATTTAGAGATTAAAAAGATATTTTTCAATAGTTTTGAAGATTTATTTATAAGTTTTTATAATTTAAAGGATTAAAGTGATATTTTTTTAATAATTTAGGAATCTCCACGGAAATAACCTTTATTATTATTATTCTTTTAATTAATTTCACTTTATTTACTTGGGGTTAGACTAAGTACTCAGGACATTTTTTTTAGTAATAGAAAAAATAGTTATATTAACATTGTACGAGTACGAAATAATCTTCTCGTATAATTCTGTTGATTAAGTTTGTACTCCTCCAAATGTCATCACTTTACTACCTAAAAACACAAACGTGAGCTAGCCGGCGGGTGTAGGCTAGATACCTCTCCGATGCCTAAGTCAGCAAATAGACAATGGACAAAAGCTCTGTGTATTTGAGAGTAGAAATTGTGATATATGTACATAGGTCCTACTATAAGCTTTTATAGATTGTGCCTGGTACAATCCTAGTAGGACTCCAATTCTCTTTATAAGAGTCCTCCTAGGAATCACACTCCCAAAGATAATGCCTATCCTGATAACTCCCTACTCACTACCAACCAAGTGAGAGAACTCAAACCTCTTGCCTCAGCTCGGTAGTACACTCAACCGAGCTAGCCTAGCCTTGCTCTACGCTAGACAGAACCAAGATGGCATTCGACTGAGATAAACTTCAATCCGGTATGTTACAAATATACCCTGGTCCGAGTTGTTGTTTACATCTAGCCAAACTGCTCCAGTCCTTGGATTGATTTCTGTACACCTCAAGACCAAGTTATAAAAGATCTTCGCTCGGCCGCAAGCGCGCCCCTACGAACTGAGGAGTCTACTTAGCTTGGCCTAATACTTAAACCAAATGGACCTAGCTTGGCCCAGTTTATGCATATAAATTACCCTCTCAATTGCCCTTTAATTCCATTTGCAAAGCATAACTGGGATTATTACCTTCAAGCCGTGCTAAGATATCACCCAAAGTGAAATACTTCAGCTAGCCGAGCTAAGAAACCCACTCAGTTTTCCCATCTTTGATATAGCACAGCCCGCTTTCCCATGCTGCTGACACCACGTCCTTACTGGGACACGTGGTTCCCCTTGATTGCCTTTACCGCTGTGACAGTCGTCAATCATAACTCCAAAATTTGAACAGTCCCGTCCATTTTGTCTCGACTATATAGCTTCACTTTTTTGAAAGGCCACTACTGTTCATCTTCCCTTTTGCAAACCCTCGTTTTCCTAGGCTTCCAATCCTCAACCCCTAATCTTCCTACGCTCAAGACTGGGCTTACGCATCTCCTGCTTTCTTTAACACTGTCAGCGTTTGTTTCATTAGATTGGATTCAAATTTCATTCCCAAATCGGTAAGTTCTTCATCCTTGTAACTATTTCTGCTTATTTCTAAGGATGGTGTCTCACTTACCAAATATGTGTTTATAAACACTATGGTCCGAACCAATATTGAGAACCTTGAAACACCATGAGTAAACCTGGAAACACACTGATTGGGACTAAGAACTAGTCTAGAACTGTGTTTTTTTTATCCAAAATCGTGCTATGACCGAACTAGGCAACTGTTTGCAACCTTTAGGCCTGCACTTGACTGAACTAGAAATGCATTGATCAATAACCGAGCTAAAAACCGTGCGCTAGTCCTGTTTCATGGCCAAACTGGGAATGGTCTGTAACCTAGTTGTAGCCGAGCTAGGCTTATTTTGCTTTGTCTATTTTACTTAGCCCGGTCCATTAACTGGGCATAACACTTGTTATTTTCACTTTGCAAACTTGACTAGGTTGGCCAGGCACATCCTTGCACTTTGTCCCAGGGTGATTTTGCTCAATCGAGCCATCCAAAGTCATTTCAGCGTCGGGGCTAGGCAGCCGTGTTCATTTTAACATAACAATCTTTTAAGTTTAATGGGTAAATATCGATTCTTGGTGAGCTCACCCGGTGCCATAATCGAGTTTCGAAATGAATACAACATCCCTGACAGCGTACATATCGAGTTAGCCGCACCAGACACCACGCCTGGGGCAAGCCGGGCTTTGTCCCTTTTACCCTTATATCGATTGTAGAAGCCGGGCTTCAGTTCCCTGTACATCCCCTCATCTGCGAATTTCTTAGGCAAACTAGATTGTGTCTTACCCAACTATCCACAAACACTTACAGAATAATAAATGGCATCGCCGAGTTAAACAGCCGGCTCGGCCTCAACCTCAGATTGGCCGAGCTATTTCATCAATACTCGCTCAACCAAAATGATGACGGTTGGGTTTACTACCTCAGAGTAAGAAGAGGTCGAGAAAAAATTATCAAAAACACACCAGACAAAGATTTAAACAATAATGATTTCCTCTGGGTTTCTAGCCATTTTGAAGATCAGGAAGCCTAGATATCGGGCTACAATATAAACTGGAATAAAGGAACAGTTGGTAAGAGCATCCCGGCTTAATTTCCTTTGCTATTTCAACAACCACCGTGCTAACCATTTGCGTTTTTTTGTTTCTTTTGCAGATTTGAACCAGCTTAAATCAAATTAGGCCTACGCCAATCAAGACGCCCTTAGTGTCGCATTTCGATATCGCCACTGAGATTGAACCGAGCTACTAAATTTTGAGCTGACCTATCGGTACAGTGGAAGAAGAAAAACTAAGGTTACTGACTTCTTTCTTGAACCTTCACCTGAACAAGACCCCAACCTGCCCCAAATCAACCTTATACCACTTGCTGAAGAGCAAGAGATAGTGAAAAAGCGATCTGTTCATGCCCTCATCACTGACAGGCTACGACCATGAATCAAAAGGCCCAGACCGAGCTGCCTTCATCTGGTCAGGTGCGCGAGACCGTGGTCGCCCTTCCTTCCGCCAGAGCCTCGTCATCTCGCCCCAGTAAGAGGCCCGTACTTCGGCTAACAAATCACCAAGACTAGAGGATGAGGAAGAAACTGAGCAGCTTTAGGCTGCGCTCCCTCGACATTCTCCCGTTGGACACCGTACTACCCCTTCTCCTACTTCAGCGTAGACACCAGCAGTGTCCTTTAGGAGCCGAGTTGTGACTACGTCGGATTCTGTATATGCTGAAAAGACCACCTTATGGCTTTCAATTTAGCTAAGAATGTCTGTCTCCCAGTCGACATGGAGCACCACGCCCATCTGACCGAGCTGAAAGCCATTCAGTCCGCCAACAAATCGCTAATTCTGGTAACCCTGAATTCTAGGTTAGTCTTCTTTCTTTCTTGTCACTCGGTTTGTAAAATTTTTTGGTTATGATGTACAGGCCGTGCAAAAGAACCAAATTGTCCATTAGTGCATGCTGGAATTACGAAAAATGACCAAGGTGACCATTGCAGATGGCAAAGCCAAGGAAGCCGAGCTGAAAGAGCTCCAAACAAATTTGCCAAACTGAGTGTCGACCGCGATCGCTTGGCTGAGCTTGTTAGTACTGTTGAGGAGGAAAAATAAAAAGCTCTGGTTGAGCAGAAGGACCGCTACCTTTGGGAGCTTGTTAAATTAGAGAAGAAGAAAGATGGCGAGATAAAGGCTCTTCGAAAACAAATGGAAGATGCCAAAGAGCATTGTTTTAAAGAGGGTGAGGAGGTTTACGTCAAACAATGCGATGCCACAAAATATATTTTCTTTAAGAGTGGTTGGAAAGCCGCGGTAGAGAAGCTTGGTCACGCACTAGATGCTAACATTTTTTTGAATCCCCATCCACATTACATACCGAGCTACATGGTGGACTACGCAAACACAATCCAACAGAAGCTTCTGCAAGAGGGGAAGGAGGAAGAAGAGACCCCTGATCCGGTAAATGCTCCACTTGCTGGCACTAATCTCGGTCATCAGCCTTCTCTGCCTAGCATGGTTGATGTGGAGCCCTAGACCGAACTACCCCAAGAGGCAGTTGCTCAAACCGGCCTACCCAATGGCGAGGTCCGGGTTGACCTAGACATTGACCTTGATGATTTGTTTGCTTGACACATTCTCTGTTTTTGTCACGTTTTTTCCTTTTGTTTTGATGAAATGTAACCGGACTACACGCCCCACCTTTTGTACTCAATTTCTGATGAATGAAAGAAAATTTTCTTTTTTAATGTCTTCTTGTTTGGTTACATCACTTTTTTCTCTTTGTAGTGTATCAGTTTTACTGCCTCTCTAGCTGGCTTTTGTTGGTCAAATTTGCCAACCTTCTTGAGCCTAGATCCTTATCTCGACTGAAGAACGAACTAAGTGTTGGTTAAACCTGCCAACTTTCCTGAGTTTAGGTCCTTACCTCGGCTAAGGAAG